GGTACAGTTTGGAAAACACATCATGATACAGATTATTTGTGTCTCCTACTTGTTTCAGTATTCCTTGTGTCTTTGGACCATACTGCATATGGAACAGATAAGTAATAAACCAGGCATACGTCTCTTTAAACGTGCTCCACATGTATTTGTTCAGTTTGGCTTGAATCGTGTCTTCGTTTAAACCTCTTTTCATGTACAGCTGTCGTTTCTCATCCAAAAAGTCTTTATTCAGCTCACGTGTACGTGAATACATTTGTCTTATACCTTGCTCTTCGAGATCAGCCATTTTTTTTCCTGTTGTTTTGTGCGACTTCGTTTAATGATTCATCATCATCATCATCATTTTCCATTTCAGGACATTGTTTATCGTGTAAATGTCTTTGTAAGTTGTGGTTATTGCTAAACACTTGACCGCAATAGTCACAATCTGACAGTGTACGCGGTGCCTTCACAGGAGAGAAGTTGTCGTCTTCCTCCCTCTTCCTTTTAACTTGGGGTATTTCGGTGGACACACTGAAGACTTTACAGGACACCAGTTTCTTCTGTGTTTTTGCAAATCATGCACGTCTTGAAACATGAGTCCACAGTCATCACAAGATGGCATGGTTGGGAGGTTTTCTTCACACGTCTGCTCACGCCGAAAGTCTAACTCGGACTGAATGGTCCTAGCTTGGTTGTCTCCCTTTAAGCTGAATGCATTGGGGCAAAGTCGCAAATGGGGAGGTGTTTGGGGTTTTAGATCAACCAACAAGTAACCATATGGTTTCTGGATAGCCCTTTGAAACGGCTCCATGAAACGGTCTGTGTTACCTGGATACATTTGCCTCGCCAAAGTCATGATGGGTTGTTGATCGATAGGGTTGTTGAACAGAAGCAGATAATGGCAGTTTCTTCGTTGTGTGGGATCCTTACTGAAATACAAATTCTGGTTCAAGGCTATCACTGAGAGATTACGATGATGACTTCCTTCCGTAAACAGATCTGTAATGCGTGGATCTTTGCTCGCTGTCGACATTAAGTCGTCGAGTATCACCACATTCACCACATGGGGGTCCAGAAACGCATCCTTTTCGAGATCAGAAGGAATGCCTTGATGAAATTCCACATAGGGATAAACATGGGTTTGAATGGTGTTATACAAGGGCTGCCATCGTTTGTAGAGCCAAATAATACGTTCAGGATAAGGTTTAATGTTCATGCGTTCTAGAATCTGTTTCACTAAGTACGTTTTCCCACAGGAGGTGGGCCCTGAGACAATCATGGTGAAGGGGTGTATCAGTCTACATTCTTCCAAAGCACCCACATGTGGTTGCACTGGTTGCATCATAGGTGGTGGTGGTGGTGGTGGTGGTGGTGGTGGTGGTGGTGGCGGTTGTGGTGGTGCTCGTGGTGGTGGTGGTGGTGGTGGCGGTTGTGGTGGTGCTCGTGGTGGTGGTGGTGGCTGCATTGCTCGTTTGTGTTGATTCCTGAGATGTCTAAGCATGGCATCCCTTCTGGAAAACGTCTGATAGCACACGGGACACGTTGCTGACTGCATGGTGGTCCGAGTCTAAATGGCAAAGAACCTGTCTACTAGCTGCTTTTAACTAAAAACACGTCTTCCGTTTCTTTGTGCGACTCTGGGAGGAAGTCATTATTTTGGCTTCAGTTTCCCCGTTCTCCTGCATCTGAATACGTGCTCTGGCCTGTTGAACGACTTGTTGGGTTGGAGACGTGAGAGCAAACTTTTCTGTAGAAGGGGTTAGGTCTATCTTTACCCCTTGTTTCTCATAATAGATCACATAATCATCCACGTTAGTAAAGGGATTGGGATATCCTTTAGCCTGCAAATAGTAATATTTGGTCCATTTCTTAGGATCGTCCAAATAGGGTCTCCAGTATCGTCTGTTCATTATCTTGTTCAGAATGAATACTGACTCTCACACAGAGGTTTCAGATGAAGTGTCACTATCACGGGTCCACGGCTAAATGAAGCTAAATCACCGTTTCTGTCCTTTATATAGATGTCTGCTAGCCCTAATTCTAAAAACATGTTGTTAGCAGAGCGTGGTTTCGATCCACGGTCCTCTGGGTTATGAGCCCAGTGCGCTTCCACTGTGCCACTCTGCTCTCCCTTCACCTACCTTTTGTTAGGACTTTTATACACCACATCAACCAATGACAACCAAAATTGATTTATTCTCAAATAGTCACAAATACACACAGTATTGTACAATGAGCATCGCATTGAAGTCTGAATGACATGGGGACTGTTCGGGGGCCTTATATTGCCCACTTGAGTCTAAAAATACCTCTTGGAAAAGTTGTTTAATCCAAGGTCAACTCAGTACAAGGTCATTGACACCCTTGTGAAATGAGGTCAGCCAGGTGTTCGATGATGACGTCATTTTTCGTCTATTCCAACCCCTATACAACATGTATGTCTACCTATATTTATAGTTAAACATCGATTAATGTCTTGGGTGCAAACTGATCATATTTGTTTGAGAATAATCACGGACAACATGTCACGTCATACGTTCACCCGTGAGCTGAACATCACCAGTGCCACAAGAGTAAGAAGTTTAAAGTCACATGACATTATGTCCTTGCTCTCGAGAAACACTCCCTTTAGCAGAGATTCTTCCATGGCTGTTGTCAACTACTGCACGTCTAGAACTGGTTCTGTGCTTTCGCCGTCATACACAACTACGATAACAACTAATCAGGGGTTGGAGTTTCATGCATAAATACAAATGGGCTCGTCCAAACTGTTCAATGAATGTCCAGAAACTTTATTCCATCAGCACAAAAAAATCCCCGAATCTCCGTAATATCTATCAATATTCAACTTTACGGTAAAACATTAAAGCAAGATCCATGCCTCCAGCTTCCACGTTCTCTTCAGGGTCGCTAATGTTAGTCACTTACAATGTTGATTTTAGAAAACCAGTCGTGACAGTTTCTGAGCTCAAATTTTCCAAAAGTAAATATACCGCTGCCGATCTCCATTCTATTTTGGATGTCCCTCTCCCAACCAAGTCCACAAATAGACATTCATCGGCAGGACCTCAATACTGTATGGTTGTTACAAACTGGCTCAGGTATTTTGATATACACCTGCGTCTGATGAGACGCTAAGTCAGAAGAACTCCTTTAAAACTCCATCAGCTGCCTCAGACTGCCGACAAGAATCACTGGTCCTCACCTCCATCACACGATAGACTACATTCTCTCACACACTATACAGGACCTCAATACTGCATAATGGCTACAAATGGTATTGCGATACACACTCACACATCTGATGACACAGAAAATCAGAAAGACTCCATTTCCTGCCTCAGACTGCTGACAATAATTACCCATCTTCACCTCCATCACAAGATGGTATCTCACGTAATTATAGTATTCATCCTAGATTCGATCCAGAAACCTACGTCGTCATCTGCTCACGTAGTTTATAAATCACGTTTAGTCGAGTTGTCTCAGTTACCTCCCTTGTGTGGTACCCGGAAGAGACAGGTAGACAGGTGTGTTCCATATTTCAAAGCACCCAGGAGACAGAAGACAGTCTCATCGTGTGAATAATTCGTATACATTCAGACCACCGATAGCATCTATTCAGATTTAAGGCATATTGTTTAAAATACTGATTTAGTTTTGTCTACACTCAAAATTTGAAAGGAAGAGAAACCAAAAGTAGAAATTGTTGGACGCGAGGTTTTAAAACTAAAATATAGTGATGCCATTTTCTGTTATTGTCCTGTTTTTTACCAATGTCTGGCATTTAGGTAAACAAGTTCATTTGTAAATTTGTCAACAATTAAAGCTTAAACTATAAAGATATATGTTGGCTCGGCCTGTGAAAGAATTTCACAGTTTCCTCCCTCGTATTGTCACTTTGAGCAGAGACCATATAATAGATCATTATATGGTCTCTGCTTTGAGGAGGTGTGACATTTACGTGTACTTTGTGATACCGGATGGATAACAATTCCCAATTACACGACACTTTAGGCATTTTAGATTTTTATAAGTAACACATGTTGATTTCAAACGGCGAAACGCAGTTAAAATGCATTACTAGCAATTCATGGTACACCAGGTACTATGTATGACAACGACTAGCTTGCAGCAAGAGTTTGTTGTCATGACAACTATAATGATGGAGGACTTTGTTAAAACTATAGTTCTGAAACACCTTATACATGTCGTTATTCCAAGACATGCAGAACAATGAGTTTTTCTTTATCAGTGTTTATTGAATAATCAAGACAGTTTTATAGAAAATAATACCATTGAACCCTCAGAGGCTATCCCAGTATCCCCACATTTCACAAGAGCGACTTAGTAGTGAGGAGTTCGTGACCTGGCTGTCCATCATTGTAACCCGGGTGTGATTCTGATATGATTCTCGTTTTGCAGATGGCGTCGTACCGGGAGGAGAAAGTGATGGAATTCCTGACCTGTGTGATCTGCCAGGAACAGTACACAGACCCGTGTACACTGAGGTGTGATCACACATTCTGCAGGAAATGTGTCACCTCATACGTCCAGACCAGACCAGATGCTGTACGGTCCAAGACCATCCCCTGTCCCTGCTGTCGACAAGACACCAAGGTCCCCGACCCCAGGAGGCCGGTGGAGGAGTGGGCAGGGCAGATCAAAGCCAGCATCATTATACAGGGGCTGATTGACACACAGGAACCTTCTACAAGTACTGCAGGTGCGACAACCTTAGCAAATATGGATTGACATACTGATTATGATCAGCCACGCGTGTGAATTGTATGATAAAGCCCACAAAGCCCTTGAAAATAGGGTACCACGCTCTCTGTGCCTTACAATAGTCATGATTTTACCTGGATATCTCAATCGTTAAGAGAAGCAACAAAACCCCTTTCCACATCTGAAAGCTAAGTCGATTGTACAAGCTTATGAATATATCATTGTGAATTGTTAAATTACCATAGACGTGTCCACTTTCAGATACTGGTTCCTTTTGCTCGCTGTGTGAGAATTTAGGGGAGACAACTCCAGGAACCGTATGGTGTTCTGAGTGTGAAGTGCTCCTCTGCAAGAGATGTGTCAAGATGCATCGTGCAAGTCCAGCATCACATGACCATGAAATGTGTGACCTTTCAGGAGAGGTCAAGGTCAAGAGAAGACGCAAGGTTGTATGTCGGGAACACAAGGGTGAGGTTATAAAGTTCGTCTGTAAAGACTGTCACAAAGCCGCATGTCAGACATGCTGCGTGCTTCACCACAGGAAATGTGAGTCTGTCGTTACCATGGAGTCAGTGATGCCAACCATGAAGTACCATTTGAGAAAGAGCACGAATGTACTGATAAAGAAAATAAGCAAAAAACAAACGTTCATTCGAAAAACGCACAAGAAAATTAGAGGAATAGAGAAAACTAAAGTAGCTCTAGAAGGTAACATCAAATCTGCTGTTGAGAGAGTCATCGCCAACATCAAACAGAAAGAAATACAGCTGATGAATGAAGTCAATGATATTACAGATAAACAAACACAGCAACTTAAGGCAGATATTAAACTTGAAGAGATCGAGATGCAGATGTACAGACATCATTGTGAGTTCATCGACCAGGCCCTGGTATCGGACTGTGAGATGGACCTGTATGCCGCGTATCAGGCCTGGGAGTCTGGAGCTGTAGAGATGGAGGATGTCAGGGATACAGAGGCAGCAGACACCCGGAGAATAGATGACATCAGGTTTACACCTGACACTGACAATGTCCTAAAGGCCCTAGATAACCTGCAGTTTGGGGAGATTGACGTCACATACCAGGATCAGGAGCAATATCTGCCATCTCCAGTGTTGGTTGACAGGATAGATGGAAGGATGGAGGGTGATGAGAAGGACCCTTTTCTATTTGATGTGACAGTTCTGGTTGTAGATGGTGTACAGACATGTGTTGTTACGGACTATAATAACAAGTGTGTGAAATCTTTCTTCACAAGAAATAATCATTCATGCCAGAGTAAACTTCCCCTGGATAACACTCCATTTGGAATAACACTGTTGAATGAGAAGCAGGTGATAGTTGCTGTCCCATACTCCCATCAGATTGTAACATTAGAAGTGACCCCTGACCTGGTGCTGCTCTCTACCATCACAACACATACCGGATACTGCAGTTTGGCTGTTCTGAATCCTTCATCTCTAGCAGCATGTTCTTGGGAATGTGTTGATATCCTGGACATGGCTGGACACGTGTTCAGGTCAGTCACTACACACAATGGCGACTCACTGTTTGCCCGCCCCATCTACATGTGTGTCAACAACAAGGGCAACATACTCGTGTCTGACTGTGGGAAGACGTCTGTGACATGTCTGACGTCCGAGTGGGGTGTTGTGTGGAGATACGCCCCTACCGGAGACAGAGCACTCAGCATCCCTCGTGGTATCACAACTACCACGACAGGAGACATCCTGCATCTAGACACTGCCAGGGTGATACAGCTGACAGAGTCGGGGGAGTTTGTCAGAGAATATCGAGACATCTGTGGTATTCCACAGGGACTGTATGTAGACAGTCATGACTCAATGTACGTGTGTAGCCTAACTCAAATCCTGGAATTCCTCTTCATGTAGTCATACATCCCAGCATCAGTAAAATATGAGTTACACTATAACATATCAGTAGCGATATAGATATTTTGATCAGATTGGATACTGTTTGGATTTGATAACTGATCATAGAAATAAGTTCCATAACACAATAGAACGTTCTCGTCAGTGACTCCCTCCAGGTACTCGTGGACAGAGCCTCTACCAGCGAATGAAGTCACTGACTAGATGCATCATTCTAAATGTGGTACTTGTTGTTGCCCTACCTGTTCAGCATTGATATGATAAGGCAAGGACAGCTTGGTGTCAGTAGGCTGTGTCTTAGTAGGGTATCCTGTTGTTCAGCATTGATATGATAAGGCAAGGGTAGCTTGGTGTCAGTAGGCTGTGTCTTAGTAGGGTATCCATGGTAAACTGCGATGTGGTATCTCATCAGATTCACAGAACGTCCACTTTATTAGGAAACGTAGAATGGTAGGTTTGCTTGCCCCTCCCCCAGGTCGGGTGTCCAGGCGGGCAGTGAGTAGTATAGGGGTGACATACCTTGGCCCTTGCCAAAGATACACACTGGCCACAGATCGAAGATGGAGTGTGGGATTTTCAGAAACAGATGATTCTAAAGAACATATGAATGGATGAATACTTTGATGAGGAATTTTATTTCGAACAGCTGGGATATCAAACTAGTTTGAAATTCCCGCAGTTAAACCCCGAGCTTGATAATGAAAAATTAGCCACTTTGGTTACCAAATTATGAAACTATAATTAACCCCAGGGTTAAATTCAGGAATTGCACATATTGAAAGTAAAGAAACAGTCACAATGTAATGAATGACCTTTAATGTTTACATCATTTTACAAAGAGCTGAACTGGAAACGAGAACGAAGGATACAGTTTGACATTAAGCTAATTGGGTCTGTAACGGTTATATCAGTTTTATGAATATCTTTCAGAAAGGGCTGGATGAGTGGGTTAGATGGCTGACTTTGTGTGCTGGTGATTAGGACTCTGAGAGTGTGGGTATTCCCGGATAGTATTCAACCTGAAAATGTACTAGAATCTGTATGTGTAATGTGGATGTAATCTGAAATGTAACATGTCACATCAAAACTTGACAGATCACAGATCAAAAGGTTAGTGTGGGAAGTCAGGTATATTCTATTTTAGAGGGAAACATATTGTCAGTTGTTGATAACTATCATAAATGTAGCCTGTCATAACATAACATATTTTTTCGTATGAATTTTATGTTTATATATGAAAGTGTACAGGAGTTACAAGTATCTCTTGTCTCCCTTGCAGTATATGAACCCGCCTGTTTCCAGCATACACTGCAAAAGTCATTTCCTGAAATTGGAATGTTAGCCCGGTCAAACTACCTGTATTTTCTCTGGTGTTTCATAAACAAATTCACTAGAAGTCAGGTCCCCGCAATTTTCAAATATTGAACCAATCTAATGATGTCAATTGAAAGATGGTTGAAAATATAATTATCAAGTGGCAACTACTTGATGAACAAATTTAATCATAGTGATTCCCGTTGCTGCCATGTTGGGGGAATCAAATAAATAGGTGACAGGGACCTGATCTGCTGTTCATTACTTATTCCTTCAGGTATGTCATTATAATCAATCAAAGGCCACATTCCCCAGCAAGTCATGTTGAGTCATGTTTACACTGCTGTTTCAGAACTCCAGAAAGTATGTATTCTTGTGATCAGCTTACTATTTTGTATTTATATATAGTATTACTCGGTGTTTTGCGGTCTTTGTGTCAGTAGTGAATTAATGTTATTCATTCAACAATTTTGTGAATCCTTAGTCTAGACATGGTCAGCTTATGTTGTGATGATATTTAATTAAATTATCAGAAGTAACACAGAATTTGCGCTCATAGCACATGCGCAGTGAAATAGGTTCGCGGAGCTTGAAAGCGGGTTGTCCGGTGAATATTCGGTGAAGGCTTTGGTGTTAACTATTTTTCTAATGTTTTGTTGATATTTCACAGGCGCGAGCTTTTTATATGTTATTACAGTAGATTACCGATTTAACTGTTTATATAATTTCATTTGTCTATTTCACCACACGTTCTTCTTACCAAGTCACTTTCTCAGTTCGATACTTAAAAGCAATGTCATTATTTAGCGTTGATAGAATTTCTAACTGTGATATAGATATGTCGTTGTCAGAGAGAAAACTCAATGTCTGTTTTATTGGCACCTATGTGTCTGCCTGCCCGTCTGCTAATGACAATATTCAATTCAATACACAATTTCAATCACTGACCACATGCAATTTGAAATTAACACCTATCAGGCTATACACCATAAACAAAACGCATTGATTTATGGCCCGAGTTCGGTCTCTGTGACATTATGTAATTACACAGACAGGCAGGTGTGATACTTGTACACATGACATGTTATGATATCTGTTGATTGCAAAATGTTATACACAAAAAATGAGCATGTATTTACAAAACCCAACATCTGTATATATACACACACAATGAGCCGTGACGGTGGCATCTGCAAATGAACCAGCCGTTACACTTGAGTGCACACCCACCCGCTCTGACTGGGTTCGGTATCCGGCTGCTTTGTTTCTTGGGAAGTACACCCAAGTACAAAATATTGCACTTTTGTTTTGCGATTGTAGGCTTATAATTTTGTGTTTATGTTTTTTCATAACCAGCAATGTATATTATTTTTGATGAATAAGCGATAATTGTGTTTTAATTATGTTTGATTTTTTGGTTGCATGTGACCTTTAACCAAATATAAGTAGAAGACCAAAAAGATCACAGTTATACTTTGTTGACAACAATCAGAATAACTGTACCAAGGATCATGTAAATGTTGGAAGGCATATATTTTTTATATATTTTTATTACATTTTTCAGCAATATAGTTTTGTATTGTTTGCGTGGGATTAACAGTTTCTATATACCAACAATGTCAAGAAATGTGCTATAATAGAAATATTGTAGATTCTAAATGATTTTTGAGTTTATTGTAATGGGATTTTAACTGTTGTGTAAATTGTTCTGGTAATCTCTACCAGTCTTATTGCAGCATACAGTACTTGTACATAACCTGTATCACTTTAGAAAACCTGAGTCCAAACACTGCTGTTTTGGTAAAGTACACATATTTATTTGGCATATATTGGCTTGGAATCACATTGTTTCCGACACGGCAGGTACATGTTTTTGTTTAATTAATAGGGCTACAATCGGATTGAGTCATCATGACACAGATCCATACATCTGATGGTACACAAAGTCTGAATGACAGAATCAAAACTCCTTCAGGTGGTCAACAATCACTTGTTCATCATCTCCATCACACGATGGACTACACAATCTCTCTCACACACACACACTATGATGCTCATGTCTTCTGTTGTCATGAACCACCAACATTTGGAGTCTGGCGATGTTGTTTCTTGAGGGAGTGGTGTCTTTTGTCCTTCAGCATTGCCTGCTTTGCCTTAGCCATCCTGAAACAAGCACAGGTCAAAATGCCCACTTCATTAACCACATAGGCTTGAATGAGTGTAGTTTTATGCCGCTTTTAGCAATATTCCAGTAACATCATGGCAGGAGACACCAGAAATGAACTTCAACATTGTACCCATGTGGGTAATCGAACCCGGGTCTTCAGTGTGACAAGCGAACACTTTAACCACTAATTCCACCTCCCTATTCCGTACTTCGGAATCCCATGAGATGTGCGCATGCGCAATTGCTTCAGTACGCTCGCGTTTTTTGCTTTAGTTCAGAAGAATTTACATCGCTCTCATATTTTATCTCTCAGCGCTTGAGAAGAGGTTTGTTTGGAAGAAGAATTGCGGGAACTACGAGTGTAGTCCCAGTGGTGATTAATCTCGAGTCTTTTGGGGTAGACACGCAGTGTCCGTGGTAAAAATTGACTCTTTTGGTTTTTGACCGAGACGGCCCCTGGTCGTGGTCATCCCTGTCATGGCGGCTCCCCTGGGGGTCAGACAAGGGACCAAGCACTGACTTGGAAAATACTTCTCGACAGAGTATTTTTGAGATTGTGGACAATATCAGAGGAACTTTGATCAACCCAACCACTCCTGATCTAGGTATGTCAAACTGTGCACAACTTTCTAGTCCCTCGGGGACTGGACAACCTCAGGGGTCGAAGGTCAGTGACAGGGTTGAAGCCACAGATGCCGTGGACCATCAGACTGATAGACAGCCGTCTTTCTCATGGGAACACTGTATGGAATTCATGATGGCCAGTCAAAGAGCTCAGTGTGCTTCTATGGAGAAAATCATTGGATCGGCTATTTCTAACTTTGGGAAAGTTATTTCTCAGCAAGGGGTTTCGGGTGGTACCGAGCAGACCCGAAGTTCACAGGTCGTGGCTTCAACTTCGGTGAGTGGAGATGGCACCGGAGATTCCCGAAGTGGGGCGAATGCAACTTCCGGGGATAACCAACATGGCGGCGCCCATGATGTATACAGTGACGACGAAGGACTTGTTGGAGACGATTCTGAGTCGGATTGTTTTGATTCCCTTCAGTCAAACCTGTGCGAAACAAAAGGAAACCCCGAGGACGACAATATCATAACTCTTATGGCTGATTTTCATGAGTTCTTTGGAGAAGACGACGATACTTCGGAATCGTTGAGAGAGGACCTGGCCAAATCAGTGAATGAGGGTATGACTAAGAGCCCGCACATGGGAAAATTGAAAGAGGTGATGGGGAGGTACAAGAGACCTAAGAATTGTGAGGCATTGAGGGTCCCAAAGGCCAACGAAGAAATATGGCAACAGGCCAAACCGGCTACGAGGACTAAAGACTTGAGGGCCCAACAGACCCAGGGGTTAATGGTGAAAGCCATGATTCCCTTAATCCAGTTAACAGATGCACTCATGAGTGCCATAGTCACAAAATCAGAAGTGGACATTAAAGACACACTCATGAAAGCTACTGATGCAATAAGACTCCTTGCAGGGGCTCATGGCGATCTAAATACCAAGAGACGAGAAGGGTTTAAAACTGATCTCAAAGGCCCCTACAAAAAACTGTGTTTTGCTATGCCAGGGAAGAATTCAGGAACATATCTGTTCGGGGATGAACTTGGAAAACGCATCAAAGACATTTCTGATGCCAGTCAGCTTGGGTGCAAACTTGGCCAAGGCACATCATGGCAACCTAGTCGCCACAGGTATAGGGGAAATCAGAGGTTTGACCCCTACAGGCAACAGACACAACCCATCAGGACAGGAAAGGGTTTCCCCAACAAGGTTAAGAGCTCCAGGGGCAGAGGAAACCAACATGGTGGTTTTTTAAACCGACGTCCCAGGGAGGACAACTTCAGAAAATAGCGGAAACACTAGACAGTGACAATAGTGCAGAGGTGAGAGACTTATTACACAGTCTATCTAATGTGCCACAGAATTTCACTGCAGGCAAAACTAAGCAGTTTGTGCATCATTGGTACAGTGTGACATCTGATAACTGGGTTTTATCTAGTGTGGCAGGAGTTAGTATTGACTTCCTTGAGTTGCCAGTTCAACATTATGTACCCAAACCTATCTTGTTTAATGAACAGGAATGGCACCAAGTAGACTGTGAGATCAATGAAATGTTAGCCAAGGGTATCATTGTTGAGTGTTTCCATGAACGTGGGGAATATATCTCCAACATTTTCACAAGGGTTAAGAAAGACAATTCCTTGAGGGTTATCCTGAACTTACAGTCACTTAATGGTATCGTGGATTCACACCACTTTAAGATGGATACTTTCAAATCTGCCTTATATCTTGTTCGACAGGATTGCTACTTTGCATCAATTGACCTGAAAGATGCTTATTTTTCAATACCGATCAGGCCTAGTGATCAAAAATACCTGCGGTTCTACTGGAATCAACAACTATACCAATTCACATGTATGCCTAATGGACTATCTTCAGCCCCTCGAACATTTACAAAAATCTTGAAACCTGTTTTCTCTACAATGAGGAAGCAGGGTTTTTCCAATAGTGCTTATATTGATGATTCAATACTGGTTGGGGAAGATAAAAAGCACTGTGCAGACAATGTCATTCAAACTGTTCGATTACTTGACAGATTAGGTTTCACCATTCATCCAGAAAAATCAGTGCTCACACCCAGTAAAGTGATTACCTACCTTGGTTTTGTTATAAACAGTCAGACCATGACTGTAAACTTAACAAAAGAGAAAGGGGAGAAAATTGGCAACAGTTGCAAGAATGTGTTGAATAAGGAAAGTGTGTCAATCCGAGAACTTGCGTCTTTAGTGGGGCAGCTCAATGCCAGTGGATATGGCATGAAACATGCACCTATTTTCTTTAAGAGAATTGAGAATTTTAAAAACAAGAGTTTGTCAAGGTGTAATGGCAATTATGAAGCAATTGTGCAGATAGATGAGGCATGTAAATCAGATCTGCAATGGTGGATAGACCAAACAGGGAAATGCCCCCAGCCTATTTCCATTCCACAACCTGATGTTGTAGTACAGTCTGATGCTTCAAAGAGAGGCTGGGGGGGAGTGTGTGGCAACGATAAAACAGGTGGGCTGTGGTCAGCTATGGAAAGTGAGAGACACATTAATTATTTGGAAATTTATGCCGCCTGGCTTACACTCCAATCTCTGTGCAAAACCTTCCGCAACACCCATATTAGACTTATGCTGGACAATACCACAGCAGTGGCTTATACCAATAATATGGGTGGATGTAAACAGACTTGTAATGATATTACGAGGCAGATGTGGTTATGGTGTAAGGAGAGGAACATTTGGTTAAGTGCAGCACACATACCTGGTGTTGATAACTCTGAGGCTGATTGGTTTTCTAGGAATACAAGGGATGATACTGAATGGAGGTTAGATACTGATGTGTTTGGGACATTAGCTAAAGTATTTGGTATGCCTGAAAGAGACTTATTTGCATCAAGGCTAAATAATCAGGTGGAGAGATATGTATCATGGTCCCCAGATCCAGGGGCAGAAGCAATAGATGCTTTCACATTGTCATGGGCAACCTGTTATAATTATGTTTTCTGTCCATTCAGTGTGATTGGACGAGTAGCTCAGAAAATCAAGATGGAGGCAGCAGAAGCTCTCATGATAGCACCTCTATGGTCAACACAGAGCTGGTTCAATTCGCCCTAGAATTGTCAGTCGACTGTCTCGATTGCTGCCCAAGTCCAAGCACCTCCTGACACTCGGCCATCTACCACTGAAAGTACACCCACTACTTCAACAAGGCAAGTTGAAACTGGCTGGCCTTCCGCTTGTCCGGGGAAGTCCTGCAAGGTCAAGGAATTCAGGGCTCTGCTGCAGACATCATCTTGCATTCATGGAAAAGTACCACCAAGAAACAGTATAGGACATATCTGCGAAGATGGATGCAATTTTGTTGTGAAAGGGTATTAATTCCATTTCACCATCTTTAAATGATGGTCTGAGTTTTTGCAGCTTCTTTATCAGAAAGGACTGAGCTATTCTGCTATAAATTCAGCACGGTCTGCGTTATCATCTGTAGTAAAAGTAGATAATGTGCAATTTGGACAGCATCACCTTGTCATACGATTTATGAAGGGTGTATTCAATTTAAGGCCTAGCTTCCCCAAATATAACGTCACATGGAATGTATCTGTTGTTTTGCAATATCTTAAAGCACAATCTGACTCAGATTTGAAAGAGCTTACTACTAAGTTGGCTATGTTACTGTTATTATTGTCAGGACAACGCGTGTTCAATCCCTCCATTTGATAGACTGTAGAAATGTAGATATTGTAGACAATAGTATTAGGATTAGATTTGGAGATTTATTAAAGCAAACAAGACCTGGACACCATCAAGGGGAGATAACCATCCCTGGATTTTCAGACAATAGATTATGTGTTGTTAAGTTGCTCAAAGACTATGTTCATGTGACTAAAGACCTCAGAGGAGATGAAACTGCTTTGTTTATTGCAGTACAAAAGCCTCACACAACGAGTGAGCAAAGACACTATTTCCGATGGATTCGAGGTGTTCTTGCTGCTGCAGGAATAAACCTGGCAATGTTTAAGCCTCACAGTGTGAGATCAGCCTCAACAAAGCAGCTGCAGCTGCCAATGTGCCACTCGCCACTATTTTGAGGACTGCTGGTTGGAGTAACCAATGTGTGTTCAGGCAGTTCTATGATAAGCCTATATCTGACAATGGACAATTCGGAGAGACTTTATTGTTAATGGCTCAGAATGATAACCCTTAAGGTTAAGTCTCACCACAGAAACACTTATTACCTTGTTTGATTCATTGCATAATGACAACATGGGTTGTTTATTTGTCTTTTTCAATTGATCAGTCAGTGTTGTGATCATATGTTTTAGTAGTGCCATGTTGACCTAGTACATTTTGGACAGCAGTGATCTTGTGTTTTGTTGTGGATTATGTTGGAAATATGATTTTCTCTAAACATCTCATGGGATTCGAGTACGGAATAGGAGGTGGAATTATAAAATTAAGCGAGACTTACCTGTAAGTTGAAGTTTGATAATAATTCCACCGACCTACTGAGGATACTGAGGAATCCATCTCCTTCCCATCCCTGGGATTATTGGTTAAAATCATATTTTACTTTAAAAACTGAAGCAATTGAGCATGCGCACATCTCATGTGATCCCTCAGTACTCCATAGGTCGGTGGAATTATTATCAAACTTCAACTTACAGGTAAGTCTCGTTTAATTTTATAAATTACCCCACCGCCTCACATAGGCTTGAATAAAATACTGAAATACACAACAATCATAAATCCACATTTTTCCCAGTAGTCTGTCAAAAATTAAGTTGCAGACATGATTCAGTTACAGATTCTAACTTATTGTTCATTCTTTCAAGATGTTCAATGCTGGAGCGATCAGTAACTGCTTGGGTCCTGCGTATTTCATGGTTAGATGGAACATGCCCCCAACAGCCAATGCTGGTCATCATGGGTGGCCAGCTGGATTAGGTGGTCCATCTGAGTGGCTTTGTGGATTGGTGCTCACAATATCACTACCGGGACTTGGTCCCGACTTGGTTACTTACAAGTCACCATCTTTTTATTATCATTATTATTATAGGATATTTATATAGCGCACATATCCACGCAACTAGTGCATGCTCAAGGCTCTGGTATTTTTCCCCTCGAACATTGGATGTCAATCTCAATCAATCTCTGTCAATCGTATTATCAATCTCAACTCCCCGGGAACATACAACTCTTGCTGCCACTAGAGCACCAAGTTATTGTGGCTTTCCCATCCTAACGAGGTACCCACTGACAGCTGGGTGGACTGGGACACAGTCACAGTACTTTGTCCAAGTTCACTGCACGTTGTTGTACCCGCAACTAGGTGTTTGCACGTATTCCTGTGGCCACCATCTGGTCATATACCAACGGATTCGTGGGTTCTTATAAGTGCACAGGGTTGTGTACTATACACTAGGGGTTGTGACAACACTGAAAGAGTCTGCACAGAAAGCTGACTCCAAGGGTTTTACACCTGGTCACAGGTGGGCTCAATCCCGGCACCTCAACCTCGCTGGATCACTAGCCTGGTGCCTTGGCCAGCTCGCCCACCACACTTGATTATTTCTGAGTACCACTTTAAACATAATGTATCATAAATGATCACTTGATTTCATTTACACGATTATGTTACTCCGTCCATTTCATGGATTTCTATTGAGAAGCTAGGCGGGACCAAACAAACCAGTGGTTGATATTATAACAAATGTCTCATGATGTCCTGTTATGACACAACAAGTCAAACGATACATTTGTGTAACATTTTGAACACAGGTTACTGGGCACAGTTTCGTAAACAAAACTTCCCATTATTCGTTTCATGTTTAACACGACACATGGCAATTTTGCAGGTCACAAACACCTGCACATAACAGGGACTGGATCCGACAAACTAGTGATTGATGTTATGAGCAACACAAGATACCATCACAATGACAGTCGATCAAGCCAACAACCCCGCCACAAGATCAATATTGACATCTCCTTCATAGCCAGTTCCAACCTGGAATTTACATGGAATATTTTGGCTGAATAATAATAATTTTTCCAATCTTGATGTAGAAACCATCACACAACAAAGCAGACTTTCTTCACAAATTCTGACTGCATGTCAGCTAGACACATCTACTCACATTGCCAAAAAATGGTCAAATGGGCGTTTTGCTTCCGTATTGTTTATAATGTACAAGTACATTCTAAGGTTGGTTGTTGTTTAATGCCACACTCAGCAATATTCTAGCTATATGGCAGTTGTCTGTAAATAATCAGTTCTGGACCAGACAATCCAGTGATCAACAGTATGAGCATCAATCTACGCAGTTGGGATACGATGACATGTGTCAGCCAAGTCAGCATCCCAGACCACCCAATAGTCGTCTCTTACGACAGGCATGGGTTACTGAAGATATTTAACTTAAAATGTGAGTTCAATAAACTGATTTAATACCTTGTGTCTCTCACAGTCTTCTCCTGCTCTGTGAGCTCACGAGGAAGTTCACCTGCCCCGAAGATGACTGTGCGTATTTTCTCCATGCAGTCCGCCTGGTTCAACATCTGTTTCCTTGTAGCATCCGAGGTCACGACCAGATAGCCTCCCTTGGTGATCCTACCAGCCTCCTGTGTAGTGAGTGAGTGAGTGAGTGAGTTTAGTTTTACCCCACACTCAGCAATATTCCAACTATATGGCGGTGGTCTATAAATAATCAAGTCTGGACCAGACAAACCAGTGATCAACAGCAAGAGCACAGATTTACACAATTGGGATACGATGACATGTGTTAACCAAATCAGCGAGTCTGACCACCCAGTCCCGTTGGTTGCCTCTTGCGACAAGCATGGGTTACTGAAGACCAATTCTAACCCGGATCTTCACGGGTTGCTGAAACTGGGAACTGAGAAGCCCAGACACCTTCCGGCTCATTTAAAAGGTCTCCTGATTCCGACTCCTGTCAGTGATGTTGATCTTCACATCTGGATTGAAGGATATGAGCCACATTGGATTGAATGGTTTTGGTCTCTGTGATAGAAACCGCCTCCGTGGTGTAGTGGTTAGAGCGTCCGCCCGGAGAGCGGAAGGTTGTGGGTTCGATCCCCGACAGCGTCATACCAAAAGACGTTAAAATATGGTACTTGTTGGTCCCTGCCTGGCGCTCGGCATTAATGGGTACAACAAGGACTGGTCGGCTCGGAATCAGTATAATGTGTCTGAGTGGGGTATTCATGCTTCACTATGGTATCTCAGTGGGCTAGCACTATAAAACCAGCTTAAGTCTGGGCTAGTACAAGCAGCCGCACATACACATGCATGCACGTAGTCATATGAGCGAAATATTCTCAAGCACGACGTTAAACCCCATTTCGCCTCATCTCTATGATAGTTCTGCGGTATCCACATCCTGTCATACGATAACATGTACTCTCAAAAATAGTAAGGGATACATGCATGATATTAAGTGCTTGATCAAGATAATTGTTGATGATATATATCCTGTCATGATTGATGTCTGTAGAACTTAACACCAAAACACAGTCTGATAGGGTGCATGTGTCTCATGCAGCAGCGACCCGTGAAGATCCGGGGTAGAATAGGTCTTCAGCAACCCATGTGCTTGCCATAAAAGGCGACTATGCTTGTCGTAAAAGGCGACTAACGGGATCGGGTGGTCAGTTTCGCTGACTTGGTTGACACATGTCATCGGTTCCCAATTGCGCAGATCGATGCTCATGCTGTTGATCACTGGATTGTCTGGTCCAGACTCGATTATTTACAGACCGCCGCCATATAGCTGGGATATTCCTGAGTGAGGGGTAAAACTAAACTCACTCACTCACTCACTCATGCAGTAGCCCCACAAATAGGGGTAGGGCATCATTTCTGATTTAGACATTTCAACGTTTGGAAATTTTTATTCATTTCTGAGTATTCCCAATTCATGTGTTAAAGAGTGTATTATATTGTGACACGTAGCATTTGTCGGCTTAGCATTCAATCTATAGTTTGGGAGGGGAAGGGGAGAAGACCCACTTCTCCAGGAGTCTCTTTCTGATCCTATTTCTAGGAATCGAGTACCCGGAAAGGAGAGAACTCTGTAATGACAAGGGCAGATAATAACTTTTTCATTATTGACATAACACACATTTACATCATTGGTATTGTCCAATTAATGGAGGTTATCATTAACGACTGTAATGTATCTGCGCATGAGCAGTGAGTAGTCAAGTTACAGTAACAGTAGGAACGAAAAGTTTATTTTAGCGAGCAATGTAAGTAATGGTGTTACTCTTTATATTGGTCAAACAGACGTAAATTATATAGCTTAGATCATTTTTAATGTCTTATTGCCACCGTTATAAGTTTTCTATAATAATCTCTGTCAAATCGTGATTGAATATTCAGAAAATTGACAGAAGCGCTGTTTTCCTTACATTTCCGGGTACTCGATTCCGATTCGGGTAAGTACATGCGGGTACTCGATTCGATTTTTTCCTGCCCGTCCCAGCCCTAGATGCCACACTACATCGATACATCGATTCTTTGATACTTTTTTCTAAGATGATACAATTATCGATTCATTCAAGGGAATGTTTAGGGAATATTGGTCTATTCTTACTGGTGAGCCATAGAACAACTGACTGATTTCTTCACTTGAACTTAAATATACTTTACTATACTATAGGCAATGAATATATATTTTATGGAAAATCTGACAAACCTTTGTTGACGTTCTGAACTCCTGGGCCACTTCCCCTAGAACACTTGATGTCAAGTTTATCTACAATAGGAAAAAACAGAACAACAGAATAAAGACTGACAATCGATAAAAATCTGCGTCGATAATCTGTGGATAATCTATCTTAACACAACCAAGTGTGCATACTATATCACTTGCTTGCCAAAATGAGGCATGGAAATAACAATTTTATAATTTTACAATAAAAATTTATCTTGTTTATAGGTATTTAGCTCAATAATGCTTTTATATGAGTGAAATACTCATGTTCTTAATGCATGAAAATAACACAACTATACTTGCGGTGCTTGTTTATGGTACAATAATGATATACATACTAATATACAAATTATGCACATGTGATCTTGTAGTGCATGACACTCTTCTCATTGTATTCTTATTCAAGAAGAGCGGAGAGTGGAAGGTCGCGGGTTTGATACAGAAGCTGATCATAAGTGAGTCATCATTAGTGAAATTCTTAAACTTGCATGTTAATTAACTCTTGCAAGAATACTTTTCATAAAGTTAGTTTCGGTCGAATTGCTTTCAATACATATCTACCAGCTGGGAAATCATCTCAGCTACATAAACATAATTTCCATTCAATTTTCCGATGATTACTACGAAAACTGCAACTATTTAAAACAACATATATTAGACATACCAATCAGGTTTAACATTGCTGTCTATGGAATAGATTAAAACTAAGTTGTACTTAATCAGATGTCATTCGACAACTAATCAACGGAAAGATGAAAGAAAATTATGTACACGTAGCTGAAGGTGATTTCAAAGATGTTTGCACAATATCAAAATAAAATGACTCCTACTCAATTTATCAAAAATAGTCCTGCAACAGATAATTAACATGTTAGCTTATGGAAATTTCACTAGTGATGACTCACTTATGGCCAACTGCAGTACGTTTCATGTTTAATCCCCTGCGGATATTCCCCCTGGCGAATAGGCCACAAGTATATTTTATACCTTGGACTCATTAACACATTCAACTACGATAGTTGAGGATCTTAATAGATTTATAAGCAATATGTTTTGCACTAAATGTTTTATACATTATCTGTAAACAAGTGGACAAGTTATGTTGTTTCCATTGATACCCGAAGTAAATGAGGGCATGCGTGCGTGAGAGTTTGGGCAGCAGCTACTTCTTTCTGGTTTATGTTGAACGACAAGACACGAAATGTTATACACCAGAAACACAGATAAGGAACTCCTCCTTAACACTAAAATGTGTTTATAAAACAACAGCGTACGAATAGTGGATTGTGTCGATATCTCACTTAATTATAGTATTCATCCTAGATTCGATCCAGAAACCTACTTCGTCATCTGCTCAGGTAGTTTAGAAATCACGTTTAGTCGCGTTGTCTCAGTTACCTCCCTTGTGTGGTACGCGGAAGAGACAGGTAGACAGGTGGGTTGCATATTTCAAAGCATCCAGGAGACAGAAGACAGTCTCATCGTGTGAATAATTCGTATACATTCAGATCACCGATAACACCTATTCAGATTTAAGGCATAATCAATTTGAATAATCAAGACAGTTTTATAGAGAATAATACCATTGAACCCTGAGAGGCTATCCCAGTATCCCCCACATTTCACAAGAGCGACTTAGTAGTGGGCAGTTCGTGACCTGGCTGTCCATCATTGTAACCCGGGTGTGATTCTTGTTTTGCAGATGGCGACGTCACAGAAGGAGAAAGTGATGGAATTCCTGACCTGTGTGATCTGCCAGGAACAGTACACATACCCGTGTACACTGAGGTGTGATCACACATTCTGCAGGAAATGTGTCACCTCATACGTCCAGACCAGGCCAGATGCAGTACAGTCCAAGACCATCCCCTGTCCCTGCTGTCGACAAGACACCAAGGTCCCCAACCCCAGCAGGCCGGTGGAGGAGTGGGCGGGGCAGATCAAAGCCAGCATCATTATACAGGGGCTGATTGACACACAGGAACCTTCTACAAGTACTGCAGGTGCGACAACCTTTGCAAATGTCGATTGACATACTGATTATTATCAGTCACTTGTGTGAATTGTATGATAAAGCCCACAAAGCCCTTGAAAATATATATATACATGTAATTTGTCTAAAATAGTCTACAAATGGCACAACATGTAAGGAATATCTTCAGGGTATCTGGTATCAGGGGATCTTCAGGGTACCACTCTTTTTATGCCTTAAAATAGTCATGATTTTGCCTGGATATCTCAATCTTCAAGAAAAGCGACAAAACCCTTTCCACATCTGAAAGCAAAGTCGATTGTACAAGCTTATGAATATATCATTGTGAAATGTTAAATTACCATAGATGTGTCCACTTTCAGATACTGGTTCGTTTTGCTCGGTGTGTGAGAAGTTAGGGGAGACAACTCCAGGAACCTTAAGGTGTGCTGAGTGTGAAGTGTTCCTCTGCAAGAGATGTGTCAAGATGCATCGTGCAAGTCCAGCATCACATGACCATGAAATGTGTGACCTTTCAGGAGAGATGAAGGTCAAGAGAAGACGCAAGGTTGTATGTCCGGAACACAAGGGTGAGGTTATAAAGTTCGTCTGTAAGGACTGTCACAAAGCCGCATGTCAGACATGCTGCGTAATTTACCACAGGAAATGTGAGTCTGTCGTTACCATGGAGTCATTGATGCCAACCATGAAGTACCATTTGAGAAAGAACGTGAAAGTATTATCAAAGAAAATGAATAGAAAACAAACGCTGGTTAAAAAAACACACAAGAAAATTAGAGGAATAGAGAAAACTAAAGTAGCTGTAGAAGGTCACATCAAATCTGCTGTTGAGAGAGTCATCGCCAACATCAAACAGAAAGAAATACAGCTGATGAATGAAGTCAAGGATATTACAGACAAACAAACACAGCAACTTAAGGCAGATATTAAACTTGAAGAGATCGAGATGCAGATGTACAGACAGCATTGTGAGTTCATCGACCAGGCCTTGGTATCGGAATGTGAGATGGACCTGTATGACGCGTATCAGGCTTGGGAGTCTGGAGCTGTAGAGATGGAGGATGTCAGGGATACAGAGGCAGCAGACACCCTAAGAATAGATGACATCAGGTTTACACCAGACACTGGCAATGTCCTAAAGGCCCTAGATAACCTACAGTTGGGGAAGATTGACGTCACATACCGGGATCGAGAGCAATATCTGCCAATCCCAGTGCTGGTTGACAGGATAGATGGGAGGGTGTCGGGTAATGAGAAGGACCCTCTTCAATTTAATGTGACAGTTCTGGTTGTAGATGGTGTACAGACATGTATTGTTACGGACATCAAAAATACGTGTGTGAAATCTTTCTTCACAAGAAATAATCATTCATGCCAGAGTAAACTTACCCTGGATAACTCTCCAAGCGGGATAACACAGTTGAATGAGAAGCAGGTGATGGTTGGTGTCCCAGACTCCCTTCAGATTGTAACAATAGAAGTGACCCCTGACCTGGTGCTGCTCTCAACCATCACAACACGTACCGGATACTACAGTCTGGCTGTTCTGAATCCATCATCTCTAGCAGCAGGTGCTTGTGGATGTGTTGATATCCTGGACATGGCTGGACACGTGTTGAGGTCAGTCACTACATACAATGGCAACTCACTGTTTCCCCGTCCCTTCTACATGTGTGTCAACAACAAGGGCAACATACTTGTGTCTGACTGGAGGAAGAGGCCTGTGACATGTCTGACGTCAGAGGGGGATGTTGTGTGGAGATACGCCCCCACCGGAGACAGAGCACTCACCTTCCCTTGTGGTATCACAACTACCAGCACAGGAGACATCCTGCTTGTAGATAGGAACACTGGCAAGGTGATACAGCTGACAGAGTCGGGGGAGTTTGTCAGAGACTATGGAGGCTTTGGTTATCTACGGGGATTGTATGTAGACAGACATGATACAATGTATGCGTGTGACGATTCTCAAATTCTGGAATTCAACTTTATGTAGTCTCATATGTAGTATGCATCCCAGCATCAGTAAAATATAAGTTACACCATAACAGATCAGAACAGATGTTTTGATCAGATTGGATAGTGTTTGAAAACTGATCATAGAAATGTGCATCACCAGAAATGCATTCCACATCATTAAACACACATCATCAGCTCAGAACGTTCTCTTCTGTGACTTCCTCCAGGTACTCGTGGACAGAGCTTCTATATGCAAGCGAAGTCAGTGATGTGATGCACTGGCTGCATCATACTTTGTTGTTACCCTCCCTGTTCAGTATTGAGAGGATAGAGAAAGGACAGCTTGGTGTCAGTATGCTGTGTCTTAGTAGGGTATCCTGTTGTTCAGCATTGAGGGGATAGAGCAAGGACAGCTTGGTGTCAGTAGGCTGTGTCTTAGTAGGGTATCATGTTGTTCAGCATTGAGGGGATAGAGCAAGGACAGCTTGGTGTCAGTAGGCTGTGTCTTAGTAGGGCATCATGTTGTTCAGCATTGAGGGGATAGAGCAAGGACAGCTTGGTGTCAGTTGGTTGTGTCTTAGTAGGGTATCCTGTTGTTCAGCATTGAGGGGATAGAGGAAGGACAGCTTGGTGTCAGTAGGCTGTGTCTTAGTAGGGCATCATGTTGTTCAGCATTGAGGGGATAGAGGAAGGACAGCTTGGTGTCAGTATGCTGTGTCTTAGTAGGGTCTCCTGTTGTTCAGCATTGAGGGGATAGAGCAAGGACAGCTTGGTGTCAGTAGGCTGTGTCTTAGTAGGGTATCATGTTGTTCAGCATTGAGGGGATAGAGCAAGGACAGCTTGGTGTCAGTAGGCTGTGTCTTAGTAGGGCATCATGTTTTCAGCATTGAGGGGTAGAGCAAGGACAGCTTGGTGTCAGTAGGCTGTGTCTTAGTAGGGTATCCTGTTGTTCAGCATTGAGGGGATAGAGCAAGGACAGCTTGGTGTCAGTAGGCCTTGTCTTAGTATGGTATCCTGTTGTTCAGCATTGAGGGGATAGAGCAAGGACAGCGTGGTGTCAGTAGGCTGTGTCTTAGTAGGGTATCCTGTTGTTCAGCATTGAGGGGATAGAGCAAGGACAGTTTGGTGTCAGTAGGCTGTGTCTTAGTAGGGTATCCTGTTGTTCACCATTGACGGGATAGAGCAAGGAGAGCTTGGTGTCAGTAGGCCTTGTCTTAGTAGGGTATCCTGTTGTTCAGCATTGAGGGGATAGAGCAAGGACAGCTTGGTGTCAGTAGGCTGTGTCTTAGTAGGGTATCCTGTTGTTCAGCATTCAGGGGATAGAGCAAGGGCAGCTTGGTGTCAGTAGGCTGTGTCTTAGTAGGGTATCCTATTGTTCAGCATTGAGGGGATAGAGCAATGGCAGCTTGGTGTCAGTAGGCTGTGTCTTAGTAGGGTATCCTGTTGTTCAGCATTGAGGCAATAGAGCAAGGACAGTTTGGTGTCAGTAGGCTGTGTCTTAGTAGGGTATCCTGTTGTTCAGCACTGAGGGGATAGAGCAAGGACAGCTTGGTGTCAGTAGGCTGTGTCTTAGGGGGGTATCCTGTTGTTCAGCATTGAGGGGATAGAGAAAGGACATCTTGGTGTCAGTAGACTGTGTCTTAGTAGGGTATCCTGTTGTTCAGCATTGAGGGGATAGAGGAAGGACACCTTGGTGTCAGTTGGCTGTGTCTTAGTAGGGTTTCCTGTTGTTCAGCTTTGAGGGGATAGACCAAGGACGGCAAGGTGTCCAGTATGCTCTATCACCTCAATGCTGAACAACATGATGCCCTACTAAGACAACCAACTGACACCAAGCTCCTCCTTCTCTGCTCTATCCCCTCAATGCTAACAACATGATGCCCAATCTTGCTCTAAGACACAGCCAATATGACACCAAGCTGTCCAAGCTGTTGCTCTATCCCCTCAATGCTGAACAACATGATACCCTACTAAGACACAGCATACTGACACCAAGCTGTCCTATTGCTCTATCACTCAATGCTGAACAACATGATACCCTACTAAGACACAGCCTACTGACAAAAGGCTGTCCTTCCTCTATCCCCTCAATGCTTTAACAACAGGATACCCTGCTAAGAACACCGCCTACTGACACCAAGCTGTCGCCTCTCTATCTCCCTCAATGCTGAACAACAGGATATCCTGCTAAGACAAGGCCTACTGACACTAAGCTGTCCTTGCTCTATCCCTTCAGTGCTGAACAACAGGATACCCCACTAAGACACAGCCTAATGACACCAAGCTGTCCCTGCTCTATCCCCTCAATGCTGAAGAACATGATGCCCTACTAAGACACAGCCTACTGACACCAAGCTGTCCTTGCTCTATCCCCTCAATGCTGAACAACTGTATACCCTACATAGACACAGCCTACTAACACCAAACTGTCCTTGCTCTATCGCATGAATGCTGAACAACAGGATACCCTACAAAGACACAGCCAACTGACGCCAAGCTGCCCCTTGCTCTATCCCTCAATGCTGAACAACAGGATACCCTACTAAGAGACACAGCCTACTGCACAGCTGTCGCTGTTTCTACCCCTCAATGCTGAACAACATGATGCCCTACTAAGACACAACCAACTGACACCAAGCTGTCCTTGCTCTATCACCTCAATGATGTACAACATGATGCCCTACTAAGACACAACCAACTTTACGCCAAGCTGTCACTTGCTCTATCCTCAATGCTGAACAACATGATGCACCTGCTGACAGACAGCCTACTGACACCCAAGTTCTCCTTCCTCTATCCCCACAATGCTAAACAAATGGATACCCTACTGAAAGCCTGCTGACGCCGAAGCCGACCTTGCTCTGTCCCTCAATGGTGAACAACAGGATACCCTACTAAGACACAACCAACTGACACCAAGCTGTCTGCTCTATCCCCTCAATCTGAACAACAGTATACCCTACTAAGACACATTTCTACTGACACCAAGTTGTCCTTGCTCTATCCCTCAATGCTGAACAACATGATACCCTACTAAGACACAACCACCTGACACCAAGCTGTCCTTGCTCTATCCCTCAATGCTGAACAACATGATGCTCCTACTAAGACACAGCCTACTGCCACTAAGCTGTCTTGCTCTATCCTCAATCCTGAACAACATGATGCCCTACTAAGACATCGGTGCTGACACCAAGTTGTCCTTGCTCTGCACCCTCAAAGCAGCGGCATGATTGCCCTACTAAGACACAGCGTACTTACACCAAGCTGTCCTTGCTCTATCCCCTCAATGCTGAACAACTGTATGCCCTACATAGACACGGCCTGCTAACGCAAGCTGTCGCGCTCTATCGCATGGATGCTGAACAACGGGATAATACCCTACAAAGACTGCAGCCAACTGACACCAAGCTGCCCTTGCTCTATCCCTCAATGCTGAACAACGGGATGCCCTACTAAAGACACGGCCTACTGACACCAAGCTGTCGTTGCTCTACCCCCTCAATGCTGAACAACATGATGCCCTACTAAGACACAACCAACTGACACCAAGCTGTCCTTGCTCTATCACCTCAATGATGTACAACATGATGCCCTACTAAGACACAACCAACTTACACCAAGCTGTCCTTGCTCTATCCCCTCAATGCTGAACAACATGATGCCCTACTAACAGACAGCCTACTGACACCAAGTTCTCCTTCCTCTATCCCCACAATGCTAAACAAATGGATACCCTACTAAGAGAAAGCCTACTGACACCAAGCCGACCTTGCTCTATCCCCTCAATGGTGAACAACAGGATAGCCTACTAAGACACAACCAACTGACACCAAGCTGTCCTTGCTCTATCCCCTCAATCCTGAACAACAGTATACCCTACTAAGACACAGCCTACTGACACCAAGTTGTCCTTGCTCTATCCCCTCAATGCTGAACAACATGATACCCTACTAAGACACAACCACCTGACACCAAGCTGTCCTTGCTCTATCCCCTCAATGCTGAACAACATGATGCCCTACTAAGACACAGCCTACTGCCACTAAGCTGTCCTTGCTCTATCCCCTCAATCCTGAACAACATGATGCCCTACTAAGACACGGCCTACTGACACCAAGTTGTCCTTGCTCTACACCCTCAAAGCTTAGCAACATGATGCCCTACTAAGACACGGCCTACTTACACCAAGCTGTCCTTGCTCTATCCCCTCAATGCTGAACAACTGTATACCCTACATAGACACAGCCTACTAACACCAAACTGTCCTTGCTCTATCGCATTTAGCTGAACAACAGGATACCCTACAAAGACACAGCCAACTGACACCAAGCTGCCCTTGCTCTATCCCCTCAATGCTGAACAACAGGATATCCTACTAAGACACAGCCTACTGACACCAAGCTGTCCTTGCTCTACCCCCTCAATGCTGAACAACAGGATGCCCTACTAAGACACAACCAACTGACACCAAGCTGTCCTTGCTCTATCCCCTCCATGCTGAACAACAGGAAACCCTACTAAGACACAGCCTACTGACACCAAGCTGTCCTTGCTCTATCCCCTCAATGCTGAACAAAAGTATACCCTACTAAGACACAGCCTACTGACACCAAGTTCTCCTTCCTCTATCCCCACAATGCTAAACAAATGGATACCCTACTAAGAGAAAGCCTACTGACACCAAGCCGACCTTGCTCTATCCCCTCAATGGTGAACAACAGGATACCCTACTAAGACACAACCAACTGACACCAAGCTGTCCTTGCTCTATCCCCTCAATCCTGAACAACAGTATACCCTACTAAGACACAGCCTACTGACACCAAGCTGTCCTTGCTCTATCCCCTCAATGCTGAACAACAGGATACCCTACTAAGACACAACCACCTGAAACCAAGCTGTCCTTGCTGTATCCCCTCAATGCTGAACAACACGATGCCCTACTAAGACACAGCCTACTGCCACTAAGCTGTCCTTGCTCTATCCCCTCAATGCTGAACAACATGATGCCCTACTAAGACACGGCCTACTGACACCAAGTTGTCCTTGCTCTACACCCTCAAAGCTTAGCAACATGATGCCCTACTAAGACACAGCCTACTTACACCAAGCTGTCCTTGCTTTATCCCCTCAATGCTGAACAACATGATACCCTACTAAGACACAACCAACTGACACCAAGCTGTCCTTGCTCTATCCCCTCAATGCTGAACAACATGATACCCTACTAAGACACAGCCAACTGACACCAAGCTGTCGTTGATCTTTCCCCTCAATGCTGAACAACATGATGCCCTACTAAGACACAACCAACTGACACCAAGCTGTCCTTGCTCTATCCCCTCAATGCTGAACAGCATGATGCCCTACTAACACACGGCCTAATGACA